TTTCCTTAAAAAAATAAAATAAAAAATGCCATTATTCTTTCCTCCCCCAACCTCCACCGCAAGCATCATGTGTTTGTGTGGCACGACCCATCCCCAGCCGCCCACGCGTAACACAGAGTGGCATGTCCCGTGCCCACAGACCCACTGGCACCGAGACACACGCTCAAGCGCACTGTCTGATCCACACGAGAGCTGACAGGACGAAAGGACCAAGATCAGTGTGACAAGAACAGCAAAAATATAAGGAAATATTACAGTAACAAGGAGCGAAATGTGTAGGATTTGAGCGATCGCTGACGGGGCTCAAAGCGAAGAGTCCACGAGGCATTTTGGAAGAGAGGAAGGGTTAGGTGAGTGTAGTTGACGTTTCAGGAGTTACGATGTTTTTGCTGTATTCCGCATTTTTGTAATCTATAGAATAATGTTTATAGTAACCTCTTTTGACATTTGTTTTTTCACTTTTTCACTCTTTTTAAAGCTTGAAGTAAAGCCTAGAACTGTACAATAACTCAGCCTTATGTAACAGATAATACTCCCTACAACTGTACAACAACTCACCTTTATATAACAGATAATACTCCCTACAACTGTACAGCAACTCACCTTTATATAACAGATAATACTCCCTACAACTGTACAGCAACTCACCTTTATGTAACAGATAATACTCCCTACAACTGTTCAACAACTCACCCTTATGTAACAGATATACTCCCTACAACTGTACAACAACTCACCTTTATATAACAGATAATACTCCCTACAACTGTACAACAACTCAGCTTTATGTAACATCAGGGATTAGTACGAGTCAGTAAAGTAAGAATGCATGTTTTTCAGGGTATTTTTAAGCGATAAAAACATGTATATTTCAATACTTTCAAGATGCTATTATGGTAAGTTCAATGTCATATTGTGAAACATTCTACACAAAGCGTAGCATCTCTATAACAATGGGCCCAACACCAGGAAAGTTACACAGTGCACCTTCAAAAGCACATGACATAAAAAAAATTATATTACCTGATACAAAAAGGTCACATTCACAAAACTGGCATTTTGAACAATTACATTTTTCTGGTGAAGGATCCATAATTTTTAGATGTCTCTATGATGATGTTGCGTTGCTTGAAATGTTCCACGGTATGTAATAAAAACTCTGTAAGGCCGCCACACACTACAGCAATATTTGCCCAATTTTGGCAGCGATTTGCTTCTCCCTGAGTTTGGGAAGGCGTGGCCCAACTCTGTGTCTTCATATGAGATTTTGAAGCCTCGTGTGGTGTCAATGTGACTCTGAGCTGCTCTGTCATATGGTCATATGGAGGAGCGAGATTCAAACTCAGGAAATAGTGAAAATAATGAGGTGACTTAAGTACTCACCTCTGGTAAAGTTGGAATGTTAAACTGCGGCATTTTCATTTATATTATCCATAGAATTTGTCCTCCGCAAATAATGACACACAGTCCACAAAACAGCGCTGTTAATCCAGTTTGAAGAGTTGTTTAAAAGAAAAGACGAGAGTATTCAACATGTGTCTGTTTACATCCACACAGTTTACATCCGGTGCACTTTACCAACAGCCTTTTGTGCATTAAACATCATGTATCTGAAGTATTGCACCACATTTCACAAATAATAATAACACAGTTTTGTTTTGCAACTCGACTAAAAGTGCAATGCTCAGTTCTTTTAAACACTTAACAGTCTCAAAGCGAGTGGTTAGGGCAGACACCAGGTGCACTCACAATTTTACAGCCTGTGGTCCGCAAACATATCCCACAGCAGTCTTTGTGATACAAGATTTAAAATTTCATAAGATTCTCATTGTGTCTGTGGTGTAAATCTTTTGTTGCACATTTAAAAATCATTTAAGACTGAAAAATCCTGTAGTGTGTGGCGGCCTTAAATGTGTGCATTTATAAATTTTTTGTTCATTTTGTATAGTTCATGCATTGTAACTGTTAGCAGAATCACCTCTCCACAGATCTGACCTGTAACTTGCTTGTCTTCATGAAGAACGATAAGTTAAATGCCACAGTGCAGCAAAATCAAAAACGTACTGTAGTTTAGGGAGAAGCAGGTGGCGGACCCTTCAACAGAAAAGTAACACTGTAAACAGAGAAATTGAGCCAACAAGACGACGCCAAAAGCACAGCTCTATCAAATCAATGCATTTTAGAAGAGGAGAAAATCTGCTTCACCAGTGCCAATGCAACAGATGCACAGGCAGCAACAGATGTGCTAACGTCCCTCACTCACACACACACACACACGCACACACACACCATACACACTCACACACACACCATACACACACAGTGACCCACAGCACTCTCATCAATGCACATAACCATGGACCAGTCTGAGCCAGAAAAAGACGGAACTCATTAAAGATGGGATATTATGTAATTTTGTGTTTTCTTTTTTAGCTTTCTACCATGTTATAACATTGTCCCCTTATCAAAATGTGTCTAAAGTGGTTTTAGATGTTATCCATGCATGTTTCAGTAATCTAGCGATCTCTTCCAGGCCTGGTTCAAACACTCCTCACGACTAATTTAGTTCAATTCACAATTCTCCATGAATACACAAAAGCATGATACTACAAACCTGATGCAATGTGCGGTTATTTCATTATTGCGTTGTGATAGTGCTCAGAAGGGGGAGTGACTTAGCACAGAGAGGAAAGAAAAGGGAGACTCAGAGCATTGAAAACGAAAGTGAAACTCATAAAACATGTTAATAGCCAAACGTTTTCAGTGAATGTTAGACTTTCAAAGCAATAAAAGGTAACATGGTGATCTAAATATGTTTTATGTTAACAGTTAATACACCATAAATGTAAAATACCCACTTTTTAAAGGTGCACTGTGTAACTTTTCTGGAGGAGGGAACGCTTTTCTTCATGGTGATGTTATCGCTTTGTCTGGAATGTTTCACAGTATGGTATTTAACCTTTCCATTTTCAGCAATTTTGAGCTATAAAACCACCTTTAATTGAATAAATGTAAGATAGAGCTGTTTAATGTCATACTGCGGAACATTCCAGGCAGAGCAATGACATATCCATAGAAACAAGTAGGCGATGGATCCCCAACCAAAAAGTTACAGAGTACACTTTTGAGAATTTCCTGTGTCTATAAATCAAACATGTTTTCTAAGTGCAGTGTTGGTCTCTATGGATACTGAGAGGCAGCATCTGGGTAAGTTTGTTTCATACACCTTTAGCTCCCTGCTGCTCTGGGTCAGAAAACTCATTAAGTTTGTATTAATCACTTCAGAAGCTCAGACCAAAGGCTAATATCTGTGGAACTAATGTAATGAAGAAGGAAACAAGCAGCTGTCTTAAGCACGGATGCCACAATGTCAAATGTGAGTGCGACAAAAGTTATCCTAATTATCACAATTCACAAGGTAACTGAGAAAATCGCACAGAAACTTATATTCCGTTAAAGGTGCATTGCGCAAATTTTCTGGTGGAGGGTCCGTCACCTGCTTGTCTCAAGGGAAATGTTATTGTTTTGTCTACACCAATTTACCTTTGTGTAACAGATAATACTCCCTACAACTGTACAACAACTCACCCTTATGTAACAGATAATACTCCCTACAACTGTACAGCTCACCCTTGTGTAACAGATAATACTCCCTACAACTGGTGGAGGGTCTGTCACTTGCTTGTCTTGTCATGAAAATGTTGTTTTGTCTAGAATGTTCCATGGTAGAGATTAAACTTATCTATCTCAAGGGAGACAACAATAGGCTACTTGACAGGTCAGATCTGTGGAGAGCTGCCCCTATTCACAGAGGGAATTATTGTATTTTTGAGCAATAGAAACACGCGTAATGAATAAGTGCTAGATAGATGTGTTTAGTCATACCCTGGAACATTCCAGGTGACCCAATAAGATCTTCACGGATACAAGTACTTGACGGACCCTCCACCAGAAAGGTTGTGTAATGCCAATGCAATATAATTTTTTTCTTCTGCATTTACTTCCTCAATACAGGCTAGCACCTCCCATCTGTGTGATGTCTGTAATGTGCCAAACAGGACCAACCAGAGCGAGAGCTGCTAGAGCAGAGCTAGGCTAAGTCTTACAAGGCTAACTTTTAGACACTTTGAGGATTTAAAAAGTTTATGTTGTAAAAATAGAAAAAAAATCCCTACAACCTTTGTGACAGTTGTCGATGTCCTGTCAGAACACATGCAGTTTGAATTCCCAAAAAATGCATTGTGCTCTATGGGAGAATTCTTTCTGGGCCCAAACTCCCGGGAGCTGCAGTACGTGGAGCGGCCACTAGTTGGTCTGGAGCCGGGACAGAAGTGGAATGTCTTAAATAGTTTTTATTATAGACCCATGGTTTTTCATTGTGTAATGTTTTAATATATAAATAAGCCATGTAAAAATTGCCAAAACTGCCAAAAATGTTCTGTTTTTTTGGAGTTAAATTATAATAAATTTGACTTTGGATTATTATTCTGTATGTTACGTCAAAATCTTGTTAAGTACAATAGTATACAGTTTGGTGTGCTACTTTAAGGGCTGATCCTTATGTCTCTAAAGAAGAAATGCATTTTGAGAAGACAGTCTTTAAAGTGACAATGTTGAGAGATAATACTGACCAAAAAAATGAAAAGAACAATGAGTTTTACCAGCAGTGTCTCCTCTTAAAACTCAGAGTATATTTGTAATTTAATTTCTGCTACTCATATACATTTTTCTCACAAACTGCTGTAAAACTATGATCAATATTTACCACAGATACAACCCCACCAAACCAAGTCAGAATTAGAAAGTACGTTTATGATGAAAATAATAATAAACCATCCTATTTTTTCTTTCCACCTTTTCAACTTTTTTCCAGACACTTAACTGATATGAAACCATACTAAATATTTACCGCAGATACAACCCCAGCAAACCAAGTCAGAATTCGAAAAAAAAAAAACAGGTCATATGCACTGATAATAAAAAAGCAGAGCATTTCTTACCGGCTTGGCGTTGCTCGTGCCCGTGCCCGCTCAGGAGGAAGATGAAGTCGTGGCAGGTGTCAGACTGGAGCAGGGAGCTGTTGTGGAGACACAGGTCCACGATGAGAGTCAGTGCCCTCTGACAAACCATGTGATAGTCTCCTGATTCTGAAGACATGCTCCTCCACGCATCCCGGGCATCCAGCGCTCAGCCAATCTGCCCACTAGTACTTAATACTACTACTGCTGCGACTGCTGCTGCTGCTGTGTACGAGCATCGAGGGAAAGTACTATTACTGCTACAGGTTATTCTACTACTACAACTGCATCCATGGACAAGACAGGCTCCTATTACTTTTACTTATGCTGCTGCTAAAAGAGCTACAATCATCTAAACAGTTTTTACTACTTCTGCTACTACTACTACTACTACTACTATATTACTTCTACTTCAGTCTGGTACTGCTCTTGCAATTAGAATATTCAGTAATAGTTATACAAATTCACAACTATTACTATTACTACTGCTACCTGTACTACTGCATCCACATACAGTAATCCAAATATTACTACTCTTACAAGTAATAGTACTACAAAACTACTGCCATCACTACTACTACTACTACTGCAGCAACTGGTGGTGTAATCCTTCAGGCATCCAGGAAATATCCAAAGAAATCCATTCAAAAAGATTACAACTACTGCTACTTCTACTGCAATAAAAAGTACTACTAATGTTACTACTAACTAGTAACTACTACGAGTACTACTACTATTACTGCTGCTACTGCTTCAACTGGTGGTGTAATCCTTCAGGCATCCATGAAATATTAAAAAAAATTAATCCATCAAGAAAAATTCCTGCTATTACTATTACTACTACTGCTACTTCTTCTACTACAACTAGTACTTATACTACAGCTGCTACTGCGAGACCCAGCGTACTGCCTGCTCCCTCTGCTCCCACTGCACATCTTCGCACAGCGGCGCCGCGCTCTGCCTCCTCTCCTCCGTCTGGTGAATATCTTTCTTTCTTCTCTTCTTTTCAGAATCGGGGAGGTAGTGCCCGCCGTACGTGTGCGCTGGGGTTTTCTCCGCGCCCGGTCAAGTGTGCAGGCACGAGGATGGCAGAGGAAATCAGAGCGTTGGGTAGAGAAAAATGAAAATAAAAAAATCAAAGTTGTAGAGGTTGGCAGAGCGCGGAGGGGGGAGCGCGCGCGCGGTTGTGCGTGCATGTGTCTCTGTGTGTGTCTCCGAGACGCACTTTTGTCCCCGGGCGATTTCTCTACAGTTATTGCATCATGTTTATGTTAAAGAGGGACGCTGTGAAAAAAAAAAAAAGAAAAATGTAATTAATTACATGAACTGTCTTATTTGTAGTTTTTATAAATCAATTTTTATTTTCTGATCTGTTATAATTTGATTTCCTCATCACAAACAGACCTGGAGTTGTGTTTTGTTTCATTCATACATTAATTTAACACACAAATCCTGCGCATTTAGACTCTTCTTCTCTCTTCCACCTTGTGATGTCATCTGGTAATACGTGAAGGGCTCCACTGGGTTTTTAAACTCCATACACCTTCACTAGAATCATTTGGATAATTTTAGCCCTGGAATTGCCAATCTCTACTGAACTAAAGGTAAAAGGTAGCTCTTAAACTAAAATATCAGACTTTTTTTTGTACTAACAATAACTTTTAAAACTATATTAATTGCAAATTGAAATTTTAGCATTAGCAATATTAGCAGAGCATAGACAAAACGAGGATCCAATTAAATTGATGTAGTGCCCCAGAGAGTGTACCTACAATAACAGTTAATAAAACAGTGTTTGAGAGGGAATTGAGCTTTTTCACAATGTCAACAAGTGCCTCGCTGTAGGTTTGCAGAACTTCCAGTTAATGTTTTTCTATGGCAAAATGTGTGTGTAAATGTCTGGCGTATTCTCCAGCAGCTTCATAAATCTGCCCCATCACCAAATCTTTAACCAATAAGGTCCACAAAGGAAAACATTCTTCCATGAAAAATTTATTCACAACTATCAAGGTAAGAAAGCTTAAAGGTGAACAACAACTGGCTTTAGAGAACTACTGAGCAAAACTAACATTATGGTCATGAATAAAACATAAGTAACTTAACTCAGACTGATTCTAGAATTAAAATTTAAAATTGATAGAGAGATTAGTGCAGTTTGAATGCTACAGATGTTCACAGATGTCAAGCATTCAAACTGCACAGATCTATCTATGCATGATCATATCTACATCATGAAATCAATTTTTATTAATTTTCATTCTAGAATCAGTCTGAGTGAACAAGTTACCTCTGTTTTATTCGTGACCATAACATTAGTTTTGTTCAATAATGCTAGTTGGTGTTTGCCTTTAAGCTTTAAGCATCTGACTTACCTTGATAGTTAATAAATAAATAAATTCTTCATGTTAGAATGTTTATCCTTTGTGGAGCTTATTGGTTGAAGATTTGGTGATGGGGCAGATTTGTGAAGCTGCTGGAGAATACGTAACCGTGCAGCATGGGATTTCCGGCCGTTGTGAAAAAGCTCTATTCCGGCTTTTCTTGACATTAGCGCCGTGCACATATTAGCAATATTAGCATAACATTAGCGTAGCATTAGCATAAAAGCACATGTACTGTATAAGCGCAGAGGCTCAGTGTGCAGGAGCACGTTTATAGAAGTGGGTGAACAGGATCAATTAAATTTTGGACCCTCTGTGAATTTGAGTTTGACACCCCAGATTTAAGAACTGGAACTAAGGCGTGGACCAAACTAAATATTTATTGACCAATTTCAACAACATCTGCAAGTTTTCTCTTCTTTCGAGATATGTAATGTTAAACCTTTTCTTACTAAAATAAATGTTTAATAATAGTTTTGCTTAAACATCGAATCTAGAACAAACATAATATAAAATAATAACAACATTTTAAATAAATAATGTCTCTATAGCCTGTCTGTAGCCGGCGGGCAGATCTAATACATGTTTGATATGATAGGCCAAATATAATTATATCACGGGACAAATTTGGCCCCCGAGCCTGAGATTGACATGTCTGAACTAAAGGAAGAGTGAGTACCGTCAGTATTTTAACTATTTATATTCATATATTAACTATTTTACCAAATACTTCATCCAAACACAGGGTGCGGCCATGTTTGTTTTTTTTTTGTTTTTTTTTGTTTTGTTTTTTATATATGTGTGTGTGTATTATTTCCCTATTCCCTACTTATTTGGCCAAGAAATATCAATTCAGACTACTGTATGTCTTAATTGCAATAACCACAATAAACAATAAGATTAGATTAAAGAAGTTACAATCCAAATAACTTAATAATAAGAAAATAGAGAAAATACATTGAAACAAGCCATAAATTATGACTATATCAGACTCAAAAATATTACATTAATTACATTAATGAATAATTTGACTAATTTTGAGTTTAAGCTTATCAAAACTATGCAAATGTAAATCATTCTATCAGTCAACAATGACAAGTGGCACAGGCTGTCCCCTCCCCCTCTGCATGTTTATCCTGCCTCCTCCGCTTTACCCACGCTTCATTACATCACGCAGCCTGTACACACCACTACTACTACTACTACTACTACCACTGTATTACAAGAGCCTCTGTAACGACCACTGGACCTGTTTTTCCCTGGGTCGAGGTGCTTGGCTGGTCTCTGGAGGAGGGAGAATCTCATGTGGAGGATTTCCCAAAGCTCTGACCCCCCCGTGGCTTGAGGAGCAGATCAGATGAGTCCCATTACACAGACTGGGGCACTCCTGAGCTGTTTACAGTGTGAGGAGTGAAGAGTGGGCGGGATGCGCGTGCTCAAGCACATGTTTGTAGTATAAGATGTGTGCTTCATGGTAATTGCACTTGTTTGCACGGCAGGGTGTGTGCCACAACATGTGAGTCAATTAAAAGAAGTACAAATTGAAAAGCAAATGTAACATTGCTAAAAAGAAATGTAAAAAGACTGTTTAATTAAGGGTTCTCTATTACGCAGAATTGACTCTTGTGAGCTATTAGCCATGTTATGATATTGTTACCTCCTCGGAAACATACTCAGAGTTGTGTTTGTTTCATTCACACATGTTTGAGTATTTTTTTATTATTAGTCTGTCTATATCTCCAAAGCTCAAAATGTTCTGTTCCACCTTGTGATGTCATGAAGCAATAGTTTTCGAGTTAACAGCTCCTTTTACATTTAATTCAGTAGAGATTAGCCAAATCCATGATGATCCAAGAGTTTAAAGGGCCACTAAACACCAAAATTTTTTTTTTTTTCACCTGATAACCTGTGTAAATAGGTCTAAAATAGAAATGTATACCTATCCCTGGTTTTATTTTGGCCTTTTAGTGAATATTTGAAAAAATCTGACTTTTGGGTCAAAAACCTTGTCTGTAATGGCCTCTTTAGGATCAACTACAGCCTGTACATCTGAAATTTTGGGTTGGACTAACACCAGTGAGTCAGATGCAGGTTATTACGTGACGAGCGCAGCCACTGGCGTCTACGGGCGGGACATGAGGAGCCCCTCTCAGCCCCACCCTGACCTGGTACCGCCGGGCACCGCCATGTCCCGCCATGTCTGGAGAAAAGGGAAATGGCATGACCTGAGAACAAATGTCCACTCTGTTTTAAAGTCCAGAGCACACCTTGTCCGTGCCATGTTGGATTCTTGTGGCTGTCGGTCGGCTGTCAATCATCGCTCCAGAGCCCACCCCACACTCGCCCCACCACTCCCCGACCTACCGGGCACCACTCACTCTGAAGAATTTTTCAGATTTTGCTTAGTAGTGGAGTAAAGCTTCGGGAAGGTGTTTAAAGGCTCTTTAAAAACACAGTGGAGCACTTCCTGTATTACTACAAGACATCACCAGGTGGAACAGAGTGTTTGCTGTTTGAGAAAAACTTTGAGAAACTCTAAATATGCAGGTTTGTGTGTTAAACGAATGAAACAAAAACACATCTATGTTTGTGATTAAGAAACAACATTCTAACAGATGAAAAAAATCATGTAATATAGGCCCTTTAAGATTAAGATGGCATGCATTTCTGTTTTTAGAACATGTTTTAAAAGTTAAAAGGTTCACTATGTAACTTTTCTAGTTACATTAAAGCTACCATCTGTAATCATACTGACCGA